GAATAATGTGTGTGTGGTGGTAATCATTTGCTCAAAGCAGTCAATAGGTTGAAGGGAACCTTAAGCAAAATAATTCATAATTGCTGGAAGCAACGTATGGATATAGGTTGAGAACATCTGTTAGAGAACATCTGTTTGTGGGTCAGCTGGGGTCAGTAAAGTAACTTCTTCTCTTCTAAAACTCTTTTAAAAAATTCTTAATTCCTTCACCATACTGTGTTTTCTGTGCTGCCAAATAACAGAAAGCCCTATGTTAGGGACAGACCACTAGGACAGATAGACACAGATACACACAAGAGACAGACTACAGACCACAAACTACAGAAAGATGAACATGAGGAGAAGTGGAGATTTCAATTCTGAGCTTGCCCTTGGTCTAACTATCCCAAGAGAAGTGTCGAGTCTTTAATGAGTTACCAACACAGCCTCTGTGTCTGAGAAAGGAAGATGAATGTCAGTGAAACTGGGGATCATTTCAGAGACATCAAAATGCAAGAAAACATGCATCCTAAAACAGATTAAATGTCGTAATTTACTCCGTTTCTAGTCTGAGCCAAAGAAAGGCTTCTGGTGACCTCTCTACCCGAAAGAAGCCATATCTAAGCAGCTGGTCTCAACTGGCCTGAGCACTGACGGGAAACCTCTGATGGGCCACCCCTAGAATTAGGCAGGTTGGCTCTTTTAGCTCTGGGTCACCCTTCCTGCCCATTTTGGCTGTCGAGCTATGGTCAGAAGCATCTCACAGGATCGAGAGTAGTGATGCGGACCTTTGATCTAAGGCAGGCAGATCTGAGTTCTGGCCAGCCAGATATACAAAGTGAATAGAGAAAAGAGTATCATATCTGCCAACAAGGGAAAAGGACAGTAGGGACCCAAAGAGAACACGTCTTCAGCTGTACCAGTGCCTCTGAAGCAGTTCCCCTTCTGAAGGAGGAGCTGGCATCTTCGGGGCCTGCAGTCACACACCTGAGCCCCCGAGGGGGAGGCAGTCTCCTTCCGTGTGCCCTCTTCTGCACTGAGGGAAGAGATGAGCAAAGCCTTTCTTAAACAAGAGTGAGAGTGAGGCGATCATACCTGGTCTTTCGGCGTAAGCTGCTGCTCCAGTACCCTGTGAAAAACATGAAAACGGCTCCTTTAATAGCTCGAAGCTGCAAAAGTGGAGATGATGGACAGTACATATATTCTAGGAAGAGGAAGCGCAGAGCACAGGTTTTCGGGTTGGGGAAGGAAATGTCTTGGTTGTTGTTTGTGTAGATTCATTATTTGGTTTGTTGATTTTTGTAGTGTTCCTTTTAGCCTGTGTGCCTGAAACACTGAAAATACTAAATGCTGCAAGTACCGATCCTAGGTCCCTTAGAGATCAATGCACTTTTTGCTTGTTCATCTCACACTGTACCTGGGCTGGCCTTGAACTCACTAAATTGCCCAGGCTGGCCTTGAACTCCCAGCAGTCATCCTCTTACCACAGCCTCCTGAACACTCAGGTTATAGGTGTGTACTACCAGGCTCAGCCGATACACTTTCTTTCTTTTTCTTTTTTTTTTCTTTTTTTTTTTTTGGTTTTTCGAGACAGGGTTTCTCTGTGACTTTGGAGTCTGTCCTGGAACTAGCTCTTGTAGACCAGGCTGGTCTTGAACTCACAGAGATTCGCCTGCCTCTGCCTCCCAAGTGCTGGGATTAAAGGTGTGCGCCACCACCGCCCGGCTCGATACACTTCTAATTTAAAATAAGATAAAAGCTGGAGGCTAACACCTGAGAAGGCACAGAGTCCTCAACTAAAATGAGTCAGAGCTCTCAGAGTCCAGCTTCCAAAGTCTTGTGGGGTTTCCCTAGCCAGAACAGAAAACACGGGACATGAGCTTCATCAGCTGTCCCTCCTCACATCTGTAAGGACCCACTTCGTTTACCTCTTTCACGACACAAACATTAAATGGGAATTTTCTGATCTGCTCGACAAGGTGCCTTTCTCTGTTCCCATTTTCATTCCTTGAGCGCTCCTTACCTATGCTGAAAGACAACTGCTGAGTGACTGAGGAAAATCCACATGTCAGCCGGGCGATGGTGGCACATGCCTTTAATCCCAGCACTCGGGAGGCAGAGGCAGGCGGATCTCTGTGAGTTCGAGACCAGCCTGGTCTACAAGAGCTAGTTCCAGGACAGGCTCCAAAACCACAGAGAAACCCTGTCTCAAAAAAAAAAAAAAATCCACACGTCACGGAGGTGACCCAGGCTGGATCTCAGGCAGCACAGTCTGGCCTTGAACTTGCTACTACTACCAGGCCCAATTGAACCTAGGGCCATATGCACAGTAGACAAGCCCTTCATCATCTGTGATACATTCCTAGTCTAGGAGACGACATTTTTTTTTTTAAATTATCCATCCCCAAGTTGATTCTGCTAATTAGATAAGTATTTTATGTTTTGAATTTTGAGACAGGGTTTTACTCCATAGCTCAGACTGCCTTGGAACACATGGTGATTCTTCTGCCTCAGCTTCCTGACTACTGGTATCACAGGTGTGTGCCATGGTATTTAACTATATTAGCATACTCTTGATTTTCCATTTCTTTCACAGTACTAGGAAAAAAACAGAAAAAAAATAATATAATCGTATATGTATGGGTGTTTTGCCCAAATGTATATCTGTGCATCATATGTATGCCATGGAGGCCAAAAGAGGGCAACTGGATCCCCTGGAGCTGGAGTTACAGACAATGAGGCACCATGTGGGTGTTAGGAATTGAACCTGGGTCCTCTGGAAGAGCAACCAGTGCTCTTAGCCACTGAGCCATCTCTCCAGCCCCCCCCCCCAAAAAACTCTGTGAGTTTGTGTATACCGCATGCGTGCAGGGGCCAACAAAGACTAGAAGAGGGCATCAGACCCCTGGAACTGTAATTACAGGCAACACCGTGAGTCACCGTGCGGGTGCTAGGAATCAAACCTAGGTCATCTACATGAGCAGTATACAGTCTTAACCACTGAGCCATCTGTACAGTCCCTGGGAGAAGCTTCTGTTGAGCTAGTAAAACCATGAGGATGCGAGCTATAACTGAATATTTCTTACTATTGGGGGAAGAACTCTTCATGTAATGACTGAACTTCATGACAAAGAGGTATTTATGTTTTTACCAGGTTAAAGTCCATGCTTTGGGTCTCACGTGGGTCTTTAGCTGTTTATACCAGTTCGTGTTTCCAGGCGTAGTCTGCTGATCCTGGAGAGGGTGGTCTATTTCTGGGATCAAATAGAAAGCATACAGTTAGCACCGACCAAAAAGTGAGGGAATTTGGGTTTTTGTTCTTGTTTTGAGATAGGGACTCATCATGCTACTCTGGAACTTGCTAAGTAAAGGCTGGCTTTAAAGTGATAACAAAGTGCTGAGACTGAAAAGGTCTCCAAACAGCAGTCTTTGAGCAGTGGGGCTCCCCACAGAGTGTTTGAGGACTGAGAAAACTGCTTGAACCTGCAGGGGTCGTATTCAACTGAACCTGTGAGACAGCTCTGACCTAAGGGTATCTAGATCAAAGTCGGAAACTCTGGAGAACACCATACTTTCATGATATTAGCCTAGTAGGTAAAAACTAAAGATTATGAACAGACTCATGATTAAAACTTACAATACAGTGGTCTAAAACTGTTGCCATCGTTAAGTCTCTGGAGTGATTTACAATGTCTTTGCAATAGAAAAACTGTACATCAGAGCGTAGTTGGAAAAAAAAATAACAAAACAGCACAGTTGGTCATACATTCATCTTGAGTAAGCTGGATACTAACCGACTGCGGGGACAAGGTCCGCCTTGCCTCCAGAGGGCAGTGTTATTTTCACAGAAGAAAGACTTCTAAGGTTCCTGGGAGACAGCTTCAGGGCATCTGCTTCGTGCCGTGCATTTGTCTGTTCTGAAGCGTGCAGGCAAAGAAGCAAAAGCTTCCTTTTTCCTTGTCCTTTTATATAGACTGCTACCAGGAGGAGTGGTCCAGATTTAGGGTGTGTCTGTTACCTGAAATGATACAATTAAGAAAATCACTCACAGCCAGACTTGTTGCACAGACTTGGGGAGAGAGGGCACAGGCAGATAGATCTCTGTGAGTTCGCGGCCAGCATGGTTCACAGTAAAGCCAGTTCCAGGACAGCTAGGGCTGTTACACCGAGAGACCTAATCTCGAAAAATAAAAACAAAAAAAGGAAGGAAGGAAGGAAGAAAACTCCTCACAAGCTCTACCCAGCTAGCTTGGGTTTTAGCTGATTCCACATGTAGTCAAATTGACAAAATGAGCCGTCCCCTTGTTACAAGTTAAACCATCACGATGTGTGTAAACTTTACATTTAACACACATAATTCCTGCTGACACTGTAGATCTAAAAGAACCTTCTTCATCCTCTCCCTGACCTATCTCATCTGCTCCCAGGCCTGGGACTGAGCTCTCAGGGACTTCAGAGTACAGCTCTCCCAGCCTGGGGTACTCTCCTCCCCTCCCCCACCTCACCTTAAGATTCTGCTTGAAACCAACTCTTGGAGGCCTTGGCTTTTTGCTTTGTTCACAGGTACCAACACTTGTGGTCAGGTGCCTCTCCACCTCACTCTGGGGACTCTGGACAGCAGGCAGATCTGTGTTGCTGGCTATCTTAAGGACCCAGAGCAGAAAATTCCTAAGTGCCCATCTAACCGGTCACCAGCCAGGTAAACACCCTCAATTTCTATGAAAACTAGTAACTATAAGTTGAATTCAGAATCACATCTCAGGAAATATTAATCCAAACAATATAGTTTCAAAGAGCACAAACATGGGAAAAACTTTTTATCCTTCTACTCTGCTGCACCCTCCCTTAAGAAGGTCTGTTCCTGGGATCCCGGTTCCCGCCACTCTTCCGGTCTTGGAAAGGAAGAAGACTACCTGGGACCCCGGAGAAATTACTTCCCCCAAGAGCCCACCGCCCGAGGTACAAACTACTCACCGGAGCGAGGGCCCAAGGAGACCGCAGGGAAAGAAAGGCGGTGGCTCTGCGGGGAACAGGGAGGGACCTCCTGGGAAACGAAACTGAAACTTTGCAGCCCGGGTTTCTGGGGCAAAATAAATCTTTGCTCTGTCCGGACTGTGCAAAGTCCCTGAGCCCCTACCGAGCAAGACGCCGACAGCCATGGCTTCCAGGCCCTGCCCGCCGTCCCCGCTACTCGTGCGGCTGCCGGAGTCCATCTCCCGGGCCCACAGGAAACTAGAGAAATACTTCCAGAGCCGGGCCTCGGAAGGCGGGGAGTGCAGTGTCCAGCCCTTGGGCCCCAGCGCCCCCGACACCTTCGAGGTGAACTTCCTAGAAAGGGCAGGTGAGTCGGGACAGCAGAACCGGGCCAGGGTCGGGTACAAATTCAGACCATGAGGTTTCCAAACAGATCCATTCATGCTTCCGAGGAGAGCCCACGGGAGTGTGGCACTGCCTGTGGGAGCCGCTGCCGCCCACAGACTTTCTTCATCCCACAGTGGGGGACAGAGCCTTAGATGTGCCCAGCCCCTGACTTGGTTTGGCTGCTTCCTAGCGATAGTTTCCTTTAGCTGCGTTGCCAATTTTCCCTACAGTCCTACAGGAAGGGAGAAAGGGAAGTGTGGGGGCGGGGATCTCGGCTGAAACCCAGAGCCCTGTGCTAGCTAAACTAGAGCTCCACCAACTGAGCTACACCCAAAGCCCTTTCCTGTTGTAAATAATGGTTCCACTGATTTGTTTGTTTGTTATTATTTGCTTGTTGGGGGGTGGAGTGGTTTTTCAAGACAGGGTTTCTCTGTCTAATAGCCCTTGCTGTCCTGGAACTAGCCCTTTTTGTAGACCAGGCTGGCCTCAAACTCACATCTGGGATTAAAGGCACATGCACCAGCACCCAACCCATTGACTTGTTTTTAAATAATTACAAAAGTAATTTATGATCACTTAAAAAAAAGTCAAAAGAAAAATTCCTTGGAGATGCACAATGGGAATATTATCATATATTCTTTTCTGTGAAACAGCTATTGTATATACATTTAAATCATTCTGAACTTTTGGGTTATTAGTTTGGTAGGGGTTTCCTCACTAAACTATAAAATATCATTCTATGTCATTGAGATGAGAGTTTAAGACCACTTCAGAAGCATAGGCTTGCCCTCACCACTTTGAGACAGCATCTTGCTATGTCCTTTTGGCTAGCCTTGAACTCGTGATCCCCTTTACCCTTACCTCTACCCTTAAAGTGCTAGGATTATTAGTGCATACCACCATACCCAGACTAGAAACATGGCTTCACATAACCAAATGATGTTCTAAAGTAAAACTTAAGCTGTCTATTTTTGAGTTCAGAATAACTTTCTCCCATCAACAACCTGCTATTCCAGAATGCCATACACAATTGCTCAGGTCCTCTGTTCTTATTGGGACACAAAACTCTTCCTGGGGAGACACAACACACATGTCCACTCACTTCAGATAAGGAGCCCACAACAGACCAAATCAAAGGAAGGATCCTACCAAAGCCCAACATGGTGAATTAATGACTTTTATTGAAGTTTCTTTCTTTTTTTTTTCTTTTTTTTTTTTTTTTTGGTTTTTTGATACAGGGTTTCTCTGTAGCTTTAGAGGCTGTCCTGGAACTAGCTCTTATAGACCAGGCTGGCCTTGAACTCACAGAGATCCACCTACCTCTGCCTCCAGAGTGCTGGGATTAAAGGCCTGTGCCACCACCGCCCAGCTTATCGAGGTTCCTTACTGGAGTATGGGTGAGGGGTTATTTACAGGAGCTGAAATGACTCAAAGACACCTGCATCACCAAAGTCCAGGTCAGCATGGGTAACATCTCACAAAGCTGGGAACTTGAAGCACATTGCATAGGCTGCAGGCAGCTCAGCAGCTGGGACGATGTCCTTTTTAGGTGCCTCCGTGGATCTAAACCTCCTCCCAGTAGCTCTGCAGGTTTCTGTTTCTTCCAGGCAGATGTCTGGTCTTGGTCTCCTTGCAGCTTGGCTTGTCAGAGAGTCTCCTCTGCAGTGCTGCTTTTCTGAATCTTCCTTGCCCCTCTGTCCTGCCATTCTCAGAGGGACTCTCAGCAGTCTTTATTAATTACTCTAGCAGGGAGAAACCTAGTAAATCTGGTCAGATTCAGAGACTTCCTGCAGCTAATTTAACTTGTTCACCTTCTGGCTCTAGGAACTTCCCTGCAGGATAGAACGTTTCGATCTTGAGGAAATTTAGACAACAGTGCTGCATTATAGGGTTCATCCAACTAAACAATACAACATAACGTGTACTTCCAGAGTGTTTACCTTGTGTGAGGGATTAAAGTTGTCTAGAGATTCTTAAAAGTGTGTGGAAGGCCAGGTGTGCAGGCACAGGACTTTAATCCCAGCACTCTGGAGGCAGAGACAGGCAGGTGTCTGTGAGTTCAAGGACAGCCTGGTCTATATAGGGAGGTCCAGGGAAGCAAGGACGTAAGACTACGTCTCAAAAATAAACAATCAGAGCTGGAGAGACTCTCTCTTCCAGAGGTCCTGAGTTCAATTCCCAGTCACATGGTGACTCACAACCTTCTGTACTGAGATCTGGTGCCCTCTTCTGGCAGGCATACATGCAGGCAGAACACTAGATACATAATAAATACATCTTTAAAAAATAAACAAGCAAACAAAAAGCACATGGGAGAATATGGATAGCTTGTGTGAAAGTCCTAAGCATATAAGGAACATCTCTGGATTTTGGTGTTTTCAGATTTTCCTAGAATTAACCCAGAGAGGACACTGGGGGTCATCTGTAAGTTTTCTCTCATTTCCCTGTGAATGTGTTTCATGTCTCTCCTGAAGCTAAGGAGAGAGTACTGAAAAAGACAGAGCACCAGATGGAGGTTGATGGCAAACCTGTGACCATTTTCCTGGAAACCACGAAAAAGCCAGTGGAGGACCCAAGCTCCAGTCCTCCATCTCTGACACAGCCAGATGAGACTCCAAGCTCCAGTCCTCCATCTTTGACACAGTCAGCTGAGGCTCCAAGCTCCAGACCTCCATCTGTGACCCAGTCTCTGGATGAAGCACTGTCTGATGAAGGGACTGTTTACAATTCTGATGACGCTATTGTCCAGGAGGTGAGTGTTGACAGAAGAGCTGGCACTGATGCTACAACTGCCCCTGTCGTCACCGCTTCTGCCCTTTAGGACCAGCAGCCTTAGCTGGGCACTAGCTGTGAGCTAGGTGCTGCTCTAGGTACTGGGCTACAGAGGTGAATAAACAGGGACAAGCTTCCTGTCCTCATGCAGCCTGTAGTGAGTAAGGGGGTCTGCAGATTGTAAAGAAGTAAATGAACTGAGGAAAAGCACTTCAAAGACAGAGATGTGGTAGGAGAATAAAAAAGGAGTTTTGTGTCAGAGAGGAACATGGTGAAGGCATGCAAGGGGAAGATGGGAGACCTTCTTGCTGAGGTGACATTTAGCCTGAGGCTTAAAAGATGAGAAGGCACCAGCCATTAACAAAATGCACTCAACAAATAGGTACTGCTTAAGGTGTGACAGACACTGATGTAGGGCTGGGGCACAGACACTGTGTGGACTGCTCTTAGGGCCTTGACATCGAGTAAGGGAAACAAAGAAGAGTAAACAGATGTATAATAGAATTCTGTCCAGTGACAAGTGCGGGAAGAATAAAGGAGGATGAGAAACAGTGACAGAGCCACCATCCTAAACAGGGTGTAAACAGACAAACCCACATGATGCTTCATCTAGAGAACATGAGTAAATTAAAGGACCTAGTGTAGGGGTCTGAAGAAATGCTGAAGGAAGACCCCAGACTCAATCAGTATGTAAGAGCAAGGAGTGTTATTATCAGCGTATGTGAGGTCATTCACCTGTACAAAATGCCCGAGGGGAGCGGGCAGGCTCCTTTTAAGCACAGCTAAGGGGAGTTTTGGTGACAGTTAGGTCACCTCAAATATAATTGGTTAAGCAGGCTGTAGCTCCATTAGTACATTTTTAATTGGCTGTGGTTATGGTTTTATCATTTTAGATCATACTTGGGTAAGGCAGGGTATGTTTTAGGGAGATTACAGGAACTGTCCTTTTTGGTCACTACCTTGAAGTATTGTAGGAGCTGCCTCAGGCCCGGTATGTGCTGTCTCCCTCATTGTCCTTTTAGGAAACTGAAACTCAGGCTCAGCTGTAAAATGGGAACACTTCAGACCTTTCTCTAGCTTCCTGGTTTTGTAGTAAGAACATTCTAGGTTGAGGGAAGCACATGCACAGGCCTCACAGGAACTGAAGCTCAATGAGGCAAGAGGAGGGGGGAGGCAGTGAGCAAGGGAGAGAGCTAAGGATGGGAAAGGGTACTGTGAGACAGGGTGTAGGATTTTAACTCCAATGGGTGTAGGAGTCCACTCCAACAGGAATCAGCAAGGGGTACCTGGAGGGAGTGTGAGGTTCTAGGAAATAGCAGATTACGAGAAGTGAAGACAGAAATAGGATAGACCAGGAGGACTGAAGGCAAATACGAAACAGCCCCAAGTTTATTGCTCAGCCAGCATTTATGCTAAATACAGTCAGAAGGCAGAACAAAGGGCAGTCCAGTCAGCTAGCCACCTCCCCGCACTGTCCTTCAGAGGAAGCTAAATCAAGTTCCTTATCTCAATCAGCTAAGTGGCTTCTAATCTCTAATGAGGAGGGCCTCCGACTGGCACACCCAATCCCAAATCTTAACAGATAATGTGTTCTTTCTCTTGGGCAAAAATGCTCTTTCCCATGGGCTTAATCAGAACTTTCTTACTGGAAAAAGCAGATCAGGCAAGCAAGCTTGAACTCAAAAGACTTCTTTAAGTCAGAAAGGACTCCTTATGGAAACTGAGTCACACGGGGGCTCCCACCAGTGGGGATCTTCACCAGATCTTTTTGAGCCTGATGATGAGGGATCTGAATTGCACTTTTTTTAAAAAGAAAGATTTATCTTAGCTGTATGAGTACTTTGTGTACATGTAGGACTTTACATCAGAAAGGAGCATCAGATCCCATGACAGATGGTTGTGGGAAATGAACTCAGGACCTCTGGAAGAGCAGCCAGTGCTCTTAACCCCTGAGTCCTTCTCCAGTCCCTGGATGGTACTGGTAAAGGGTGACTCTGGCTGCTGGGTTGAGCACAGGTGTAGGAAGGAGCCAGGAAGGTGATGACAATGACAGATTCCCAAAGGTCCTGACAGAGGACTGACAAACAGGCTGAAATCTGGAAACATCCTGAAGCTGTAACATAGAGAAAAAAGGTTCCAAGTGGATTAAAGATCATCTGCAAGGGGCTGGAGAGATGGCTCAGGTTAAGAGTACTGACTGCTCTTCCAGAGGTTCTGAGTTCAATTCCTGGTTCTTATTCTTAAAACGATCCACTGGCGGGCTGGCAGAGCCCGCCATGAGACAAGTGGCTACAGTTTCCCACCAGCGGGAGGCTCTGGCGGGTTACCAGCGGTGCCGGGCTCCGGCTCCAGAGTCCGGCACCCGAGCGGTGGCAAAGTTCCCATCAGCGGGAAGCGGTGGCAAAGTTCCCATCAGCGGGAAGCCATGCGGCAGAATTCCCAATGCAGTGGGCACATGTGAGCAGACCCATAAACACAGAAAGTAGCCATAACAGCATTTATTAATGGAAAAGAAGGAGAGAGGGAGAGAGAGAAAAGGAGAGAGAGAGGAGGCAAAGCCATGTGTACACCGGGAGAGAACAAAAGAGAGAGAGATGACAGGTGGAGGTCAGAGGTAAAAAAGGAGTGGGCGTGGCTAGGGCAGGGACCAAAAGAATAACATTCCCACATCTTGCTTTTAATAAAAAAGCAAATTAGATGCTCCAGTTTGAAGGAATTGGGGCGGTGAATTCTCAAGACTGCTTCTGGCTGATCGTGGGCGTTGTCTTTTATAGAAGGGGAACCCGACAGAAGGCTGGGTGCTGGTCTCCTTTTGACCGGTTTTTATGGCATGGGAATGTCTGGTGTCCCTAAGGTATTGGCAGAACAAACAACAAAGTTAAATTAAGGAAAAAAAAAATTTAGGACCAGGGAATTGAGGTGGTATCTGACCTGTTTAAGATGGATTTCTTAATTCGGCTCCCTGGAACTCATGAGAACTCCTTGGGTTTGTGAAAACAGAAGTTTTAGACATATAATGACTGTGGCATAAGAGATAAATTTGATTTGAAATTTGTTTGGTGAGGTCATCTTGTAAAACCTCAACCTGGAGAAACCTCTCAGCTGTCAAACTCTCAGAGATCTTTGAGAAGGATAAGATTTTACTTGAGTTACTGATTAAAAAAATGACAGAGAACTTACTTGGTTGGCACCCAGAGCTACTCTTTTTGGGTCCTCCGTGGTCACTGAAGGTTGTACTTGACCTTTGCTGTTTAGCGCAGGGTCTGTCAGGCTGCAGAAAACCCTGTGGGCTAAGAAATCTGTAGGAAGACAGTTCTACCTTGACCTGAGCAGCTAGGCTGTCGATTCCAGCGATTCTCTCCACGTCTAGAGGTCTTTACTTTAGATGAAAGGCAGGTTTTCACAATGGTTAGCGCTCTGCAGTCGAAGCGAAATGCAGAAGGACGTTGTTCTGCGCGTGTCTGTCTTCTGTCTTCTTTGGAGGGAGCAGAGAGCTGCTGCTAGGAGCCAACCTGTCTCTTTTTTGTTGTGAAAAGTTTTTAATAATTAAATACTTAAATATTACATTCCCCAGATCTCTGAGCAGTTGAGGGCAAAAAACTGTTTGTAATATAAGGTTAGTGGCAGAACCGACAATGGTAGAGAACAGCTTAAGAGACTTAAAGGTACATAGCAGTTTAAAATATATGTATTATTATGTATAGAAAGAGTGAACAGAAATTGGGCAATGTGGACGACTCTGATGGGCCCTATCAGAGGCGTGACATTGTTCAAAACATATGTAACAGAGTTAATAGGAGGATTTTAGTGAAAACCGGGTGAAGAGGCAGGGTAAAACCAGGAGTAAAACCGGGAGAGTATGGTCACGTGGCCTGGCTCCCAGCCAAGATGGCAAAAAGTCACCTGACCCATCTGGCCCTCATCCAAGATGGCGACCACCACATGTAGTCTGCTCTGTTGGAGAGCCGCCATGACATAACAGAAGCCACAGCGGGGAGGGGCAAAAGGCTGGAACCGAAAAAACCGGCCATTTAAATTTTCTTAAAGGTAGTTGGGGCCATTTTGAACAGACATTGATAAGTGTAAGGCATTAAAGCATGAGGCTGGAGTGATAGGTCTGGGTGGCTTGGCTCCCATGGTCAAAGCCATGAAAACACCCGCAAAAACCATGGCACCTCAAGCCTACAACGAGAACGGCTCCTTTTAAAGGCGAGATGCAGATGGCATGAACACCCAGGCCCTGTAAACAGGCATCTGAGCTCACGGGGGGGGGGGGGGGGGGGGGGGGGGGGGGGGTGCTATAACCTGACTGAATCGACTCGAGCCTCCGACGAGAGAGGGATTCCCGGGCAGGAGGGATTCAGCCAAGGTCAGGCCGCACTGTAGCAGACGAACACCCAGGCCCTGTGAACAGGCATCCGAGCTCACGGGGGGGGGGGGGGGGGGGGGGGGGGGGGTGCTATAACCTGGCTGAATCAACTCGAGCCTCCGACGGGAGAGGGATTCCCGGGCCGGAGGGATTCAGCCAAGGCCAGGCCGCACCGTAGCTGCATGCCGCACCGTAGTGGCAGTTATGACGAAAAGAAGGAAGAAAAGAAATAAAAAGACAAAAAGAGGGAGAACTGGAGACCCCAGGCCTCCAGGTGCAGGTGAGCTGAGGGGCTGGCTAAGGCCACGCCATCCCAGGCACAGGCTTAGCACAGGAGACAAGCCGAATTGAATGCCAGCGAAGGGAACAACCGAGGCCCTGAAAGCCCACGGTTGGAGGTCCCCCCCATCCCTAAAAACCATGAAGGGTTGCCGGGAGCTCAATGGTCAATCCCTTGGGTTAAAAGAGATGGTTAAGCTGGCCGAGATGGGGACACTCACGATTAGAAGCCGGTGTTGTTTGGAGGAGTTGTGTCCAGGCAGATGGAACATGTGGGTCGTTGTAGAAAAGGTCCTCAGGTCCTGATTCTGCCCCGGGAGGGAGCTTGGAGTCCTGGATGGCGCCTAAAGCCGGAACTCCGGCCCCGGGTGCAAGTCCGGGGCAGGCGAATCATCCAAGTCACGGCACCAATAATATTCTTTTTTAAAAAATGCTGCAAGATCCCCGTGGCAGTAGGCAGCAGAAATGCTGTAGGTCCCAAATGGTGGTAGCGGGCCATGTGGCAGCAGGCAATGGGCTCTGGGAGCAGCCAGTCCCAGGCAGAGACGGCTGCTGGTCTCCGAGCAGTGGCTGGTCCCAGGCAGGGAGACACATGGCAGGCAGACAGGAGACAAAGACATGGATAGACACGACATGCAGGGTGAGGTTGAATGTTTATTCAGGGGGTTATGGAGGAGGAAGGGTGAAGAGAGGACAGAGAGAAAGGGAGAGAGAGAGAGAGAAAGGAGAGGAGAGGAGAAAGAGACAGAGAAGGGGGGAAGCGGAGAAGTGGGGAGAGAGGCAGAAGCGAAGCTGCTTCTCCGAGAGGAAGATGGAAAAAGAGCGAGCTCAGGCCGGAAGCTGAAGATCAGCCTGCCTCAGTGGAAGGGGGAGGGAGTGGGCGTCGCTTGTCTCTTGAAGGGACCAAAAAAAAAAAAAAAAAAACACACACACATGGTGGCTCAAAACCATCTATAATGAGATTTTTGTGCCCTCTTCTGGCATGCAGGCAGAACACTGTATACATAATAAATACATCTTAAAAACAAAAAGGAATAGCAACAACAAAAAAGATCATTTTCAAAAACCTTGAGTGGAAATAAATCATTAGATATTTTTGTTTACATTGCACTCAATTTGCCTATATCCCTTTTCTCCTAACTAATCTGGACTTTCTATTGCATCACTGCACTTCTTAAAACAAAGGTGTAAAAGGACTTATTAACTTTGCGTGAGGTAAGTGTTTCAGCTTTCATGTTTTCTTAAAGTAAGAATTAAGGTAAATAACAAAAAGCGTATTGACATGGGGGCTAGACTCCTTCTTGGATTTAGAGCTACCTCTGAAGCTCACAAACTCTTCCTTGAGGACCACAGCAACTTCACAGAGTAGCGTTGCCTTCTCGGCACTCTCAGTCCCCAGGTCAAGCAGATAATGTTGTCTTTAGATACAGATCTATTAGAAAATGTTGGCACGCAGGTTTCATTGCAAACCAGTTAGTTATGTGGACCTCTGGAATGAGATCTGGCCTTGAATTTCTTTGTTTAATTCATCTTTGAACTCCCCCTAGGTGAGTCTAAGGTTCAAATGGATTGACAAGCCTGGCTTGCAGCAGAATGCTCCTCTCAGCAGATTTAAAGGAGTCAACCCCTGCTTTAAAAAAAAGACAAGAAAAAAAGATCGTGGTCTTTTGTGTATTCCTGGGTGTTCTCCTGAAGGGGGTCATATCCGAGAGAGTTGATTTGTATATGTGCCTTTTAAACTTTCAGGTCTTTCTTGCTGTGACCGCTGAGCTGAACTGTGAGCTGCTCTCCAAAGAGCAGAGGGCACACATAGCCTCTGTCTGCCCTGGCATCAGAAGCGTGGAGGGTGAGGATGGTATTGCCAAGGTGTGTGGCAGCTTCAAAGATATTGAGAAGATACATAATTTCTTGACTGTGCGGCTTTTGGAAAGTGAGCAGAAACAGAAGTACCCCACACACAAATACCCCCCTTCTGATGTGGAGAGACAGCCACCCAACCAGCAAGACTCGGGCATGGACTTTTCCTCTTCGGAACCAAAAACCGGGTTAGAAGATGATTCTGAGAACCGTGTTGAAGTTCCTCTGCTTTTCCTTGAATATTTCAGACATGCCTATCCTGATAGAATAGAGTCCATAGCGAATAAATTTGGTGTAAGCTTTAAAGTCCGAGACAGTGCTCCCAATATGGCCTCTGTACAATTCACCACCGGCCAACCAGGCAACTTAGAAGCAGCCTGTCAGTATTTTATCAGAGACTTTCAGAGATACACCCAAGCTCTGAAGCAAGACTGTGTCTCTTTAGAAGATCCTCAGAGAGCAATGAAACTCAGACAGGAGTTGAATCGCTGCTTTCCACAGCTCCTGATAAAGGAACAGGGAAGAAAGCTAACTCTCCTCGGGTCTCAAGCTGACATCTCAGCCGCCACAGAAAAAGTCTCCCAAAATTCCTTCAAGACTCCTGTGGAAATAATGTCCTCTGGTTACATGACAGGGATTGAGGTTGATTCAACTCACTTCAACCTTCTAAAACCAGCATTGGACCAGGAAATCTCAGAGATAGAGCAGAAGTATAACACTAGTGTAGAAGTCCAGGAGAATACCCAGAAAACCTGCATTCTAATTGTCCCCATGGATAAGGAGGTCGACCTGTCCGTGCACTCTTATGCCAGTTTCACTGATGCATTCCAACATGCCATGTGTCAGCTAACGACAGAAATCCTGCCGCTGAAACATTTGGGCATGGGGAAAGCTCACTTACACAAGTTTGTCGATGACTTAAAGAAAAAGCACCCAAACGTACACTTCGTGGTATCTAAAGAGTCAATGACTTTGATGGGTTTGCCGAATCAGCTTGCACAGGCAAAGCAGTATATGTTCAAAAGAATGGGACTGTCCCTACCATCTGGAGAGAGCTTAAATGTGGATCACGAGACACCCATGGATATCGATGCAAATGAAGCTTCACCTCCTCTCAGAGGCTCTGCTGACGACAGCTCTGGGGCCTTGAAGGTGAATGATAACGAAGATTCCTGTGCCATCTGCATGGATACCATTAGCAACAAGCATGTGCTCCCTAAGTGCAAGCATGAATTCTGTTCCTCTTGTATCACCAAGGCCTTGTCATTCAAGCCTGTCTGTCCTTTGTGTCAGACGTCCTACGGTATCCAGAAAGGGAACCAGCCAAAAGGAGTCATGACTTTCTCCACTTCAAGACGGTCACTTCCGGGTTATGCAGACTGTGGCACAATTGAGATTCAATACATTATAGAAAGTGGCATCCAAACAGTAAGTGTACCAGGGAACATGAGTTTCTTTTGGCTCTGTTAGAGTTACCAGCACCCAAGGGGTCATCCTGTAGCTTCTTAGATGCCGATTTTCCCAGGAACTCATTCAGTGATTGTGGTAGGAACATAATAGCTAGAGGCCATACTGTTTGCTTAGAACTTGGATGTCTTTTCAGCTATTTCAACAGTGTTGGGGCTGAACCCAGCCTCTTGTGTATGCCAAGCAAGCACTGCCAAGCTGTGCATCTAGACTTTCATGTCTTTTTGAAGGTAGAGACCATATGTCAGGATGGGAGGAGTTGGGTGGGTACGACTGTAATCTGAAGAGAACTATGAATTATTCAGAATATGAGCAAAACAGCATTTTCTTTTTGGTTTTCAGTAGACTTCACCTATAATGCACACACCTTTAGTATAGTAAATTTCGGAGGCATGCCATTTTTTTATCTAACATTTTCCTTTCCTCATACAGGATGAGCACCCAAACCCAGGAAAGCCTTATATTGGAACACAACGAACTGCATACTTGCCTGATAATCAGGAGGGAAGACACGTCTTGGATCTGCTCCAGAAAGCCTTTAAGAACAGGCTGATTTTCACAGTAGGGGACTCTAGAGTATCAGGAATGTCTGATGTCGTTACATGGAATGACATCCATCACAAAACAAACATGTTTGGAGGACCAGGAAAGTAAGAGCCCTTTGAAATGTAATGGTTGCTGGACAAAGTATAGGGGTGTTAAGTGCTGCAGTTTGAGGCTGTGGTATGAAACGGCATTCTAGCAGCAGATGTTAGCCCAGTGTCTTAGCGAGGGTTTCTGTTGCTGTGATAACCAAAAGCAACCTAGGGAAGAAAGGGTGTATTTGGCTTACAGCTCCTGAGACACTGAGGGAAGAGGAAGCAGGAACTCAAACCAACCAGGAAACTGGAGGAGCTGATGCAGAGGCCATGGAGGGGTGCTGCTTACTGGCTTTTTCCCCATGGCTCGCTCAACCTGCTTTCTTATAGCCCACCCAGGACTGCCAGCCCAGGGCAGCACCACTGACAATGAACTGGACATCAATCACTTAATTAAGAAAATGTGCCAGGCGGTGGTGGTGTATGCCATTAATGCCAGCACTTGGGAGGCAGAGGCCAGGAGGTTCTCTGTGAGCTCTGGTTTACAGAGCGAGTTCCATGACAGGTTCTAAAGCTAAAAAGAGAAATTCTGTCTCGAAAAACCAAAACTAAAAATAAAAACCCGTGCCAGGCAGTGGATGGATCTCTTTTAGTTTGAAGCCATCCTAATCTATAGAGTGAGTTCCAGGTCAGGCTCCATAGCTACTGGGAAACCCTGTCTCAAAAAAGAAAAGGAAAGGAAAAAAAATAAAAAGGAAAATTCCCTACAGGCTTGCCTACAGCCGGATCTTGTGGAGGCAATTTCTATATATAACCCTGGCTGTCCTGGAACTCACTCTGTAGACCAGGCCAGACTCCCTCTCTGCTAAGACTAAAGTTGTGTGACACCACCGCACAAGAAAGCAGTTCCTCAATTGAGGTTCCCACCTCTCTGATGACTCCAATTGTGTCTTAAAACTAGACAACACACACAGCAAAATACTAATCCATAATGATAGCTTAAAGACAAAAAGTATTGGTCCCAGCCAGGCAGTGGTGCCACATACTTTTAATCCCAGAATTTGTAAAGAAGAGACAGGTGGAACTCTGAGTTTGAGACCAGCCTGGTCTACAGAGAAAGTTCCAGGGCAGCCAGGGCTATGTTGAGAAACACTGTTTTGAAGAAAAAAAAAATGGTTCCTCAAACTTTCTACTTGCCATTCATCATGTATGACTTGGTTATTAAATTTTGTATATCAAAGATGGGCAGGGTAGGGGCACAACTTTAAGTACTCAACTCGAAGTACTCAGGAGACAGAGGCAGGTGGATCTCTGAGCTCAAGGCCAGCCTGGTCTACAGAGAGAGTTCCAGGACAGCTAGGTCTACACAGAGAAACCTTGTTTCTACAACCCTTCCCACCAAATGCATCAGAAGAGAGTGGTTTCAGAACCCAGGATGAATGGTGCCCAAGTCGATTTTAGGGTTTCATGTCAATTTGAAAGGAAGATCCTAGGAATGTTATTTGCTTTGATTTTTGGTTTCTTTTAGATTTAATTATTTACTTACTTGTATGTACATTAGTGTTTTTCCTGCTTTTATGCCTGTGTGAGGCTGTCAGATCACCTGAAGTTACAGACAGGTGTGAGCTACCATGTGGGTGTTGGGAAATGAACTTGGGTCTTCTGGAAGCACAGTCAGTACTCTGAGCCATGTCTCCAGCCCTGCTTTGATTTCTTTTAAGGTCATCTTACTCTCCCTCACCCCTGACTTCCCATTGTTCACAAAGATGTTAAACTAACATGGATGAAACATGGTAGAAAAAAGTCTTCATTATAAAGAGTCCCAAGATGGTAGGAGATGTAATTTGAAATCTGGTTCTATTTTATAAAACTCAGAATTCCTCTACTTGTGGCATCTAAAAGAAAACTGTCCTGAGATCTTGTTAAGTTTCCCAATTTGAAAATCCTACTGTCATATGATTACCTTCTAGGTAGAATTTTGCATTTATAACATTATGCAAGCAATGTGTGGAAAACAGATGCTGGTCAGTCAGCTGGGCACTTCAGTGACTAGATACCAGTCACTGTCTGATTGCCTGAGGATGCTGGATCCCAGAATACTAGATGCTCAAATGTAAATTGTACAGATTTTGTTGTTGTTGTTTAGAGGCTGGGTCTCACTATGTGGCCCAGGCTGGCTTCAGACTCACAGAGATCTGACTGCTGTCACCATCCCAGTGCTGGGATTAAAGGCCTGTGCAACCATTCCCGGCTATTGTACAAATTCTTGAGAATTATTTGGGAGGAAACTAACAGGATTCCTTTTTCTTCATGCAGTTTTGGCTACCCTGATCCTCATTACCTGACACGTGTCAAGGAGGAGCTGAAAGCAAAAGGAATTGAGTAAGGAAAGCGCTGGGAAGACGTCTGTGCACTTTCAAAAGAAGTGTGTTAGGAGGCCGCAGTAGGACAGGCCTCAATCATTTTGTAGAAAAAACTTAGAGCATTTTTCATGTTAAGTAGATGTAGTTTCTATAAAGCAGAAGTCTGCTTGCCAGTGATTTCTAGAGTGTTTCTTTTTCTTGGAAGGCAAAATATGAAGGGCATGTGCTGGGGACATCATAACGTGTGAAGATGTGAGCTCAGATCCGCAGTATCCATGTAAGAGTTGATGTGATGGCATATACTTGTAAGCTTAGCCCTGGGGAGTGGAGACAGAAGGATTCCTGGAGCTCACTGGCTAGTTAGTCTAGCCCAAACCAAAACCATGGGCTCCAGGTTCACTGAAATCAGGTGCATCTGGGCAATATGGCGAATGCCTTTAATGCCAGGAACTGGGAGGCAGTAGCATGCCAAACCAGGCCAGCCTGGTCTACATAGCCCAAGTTCCAGGACAGCCAGGGCTACATAGTGAGGCCATGGCCAAAAACAAACAAAACAAATATGAGGTAGACAGAAATAAAGACATCTTACATCACCCTCTGACCTCTAAATGCACCTATAAACACATTCACACCTGCGCACACACAGAGAAAAGTTGTAGGGCAGAAAAACATAAAGGATTTCAAATTTTTGCTGAGGAAGTTGATCTCATTCTTGTGTCCTATAGGGGTGCTGCTCAGTATGAAGTCACCTTCTGTATCTTTCATTGAACAACTGGCAACTAGTAGACCCTCTCCTGCTGCTTGTTTTCTTGATACATGGTCTCTCTGTGCAGCTCTTGAACTCTCTTTGTGGACCAGATTGGTCTTGAATCTCGATCTGCCTGCATCAGCCTTCTGAGAGCTGGGGTTAAAGACATGTGCTACATGCCTAATTGTATTTGTTTGTTTGGGGTTTTTGTTGTTGCCTCTTTTGGTTGGTTTAGTTGGTCTGCTTTTGGTGTTGGGACTTAAACCCAAGGGCAGTAAGTTCAATCCCAACACCTTTGATCATTTTCCATGGCCATCTCTCTTGTGGTATGTTAGTTGTTTGGTTTTTAATCTCTGCCTGGAAAAGTAAAATCCTTGTGTAAATGGGAAAGTGAAACCTTTGTGTAAATGGAAAGTTTAAAAACAGGATTGAGAGCCGGGCGGTGGTGGCGCACGCCTTTAATCCCAGCCCTCGGGAGGCAGAGACAGGCGGATCTCTGTGAGTTCGAGACCAGCCTGGTCTACAGAGCTAGTTCCAGGACAGGCTCCAAAGCCACAGAGAAACCCTGTCTTGAAAAACCAAAAAAAAAAAAAAAAAAAAAAAAAAAACAGGATTGAGGGGCTGGAGAGATGGCTCAGAGGTTAAGAGCACTGGCTGCTCTTCCAGAGGTCCTGAGTTCAATTCCCAGCAACCACATGGTGGCTCACAACCATCTGTACTGAAATCTGGTGCCCTCTTCTGGCATGCAGTCATACATCGAGGCAGAATGTTGTATACATAATAAATAAATCTTTAAAAAAAAAAAAAACAGGATTGACTGGAAGAGACCCCCACTTCCCTCCCTACCCATAGTGCGAAACATGCCCAGGAGGTTAGGCAACTTTTGATAATAAGAAGATAATCTTGTGTGTCAGGATACAGAACCTAGTAGACAGTTGGTGCTTAGAGTGTGTTTGTTGCCTTACTCAGCTCAGCAGAGGGATGAGCATATAAAAAGATGAGTTCCTCAGATCTTTGGGATTTTTTGTTTTGTTTTGGTTTTTCGAGACAGGGTTTCTCTGTAGCTTTGGTGCCTGTCCTGGAACTAGCTCTTGTAGACCAGGCTGGCTTCGAACTCACAGAGATCCACCTGCCTCTGCCTCCTACCCTTCTTTTCTTGTTCCATGATCTCTGTTCCCAGATTTCTCCTTCTCTTTATTCTCTCTGCCTGCCTGCCCTGTCTATCCTTTCTCCTGCCTAGCTATTGGCTATTCAGCTCTTTATTAGACCAATTAGGTGTTTTAGGTAGGCAAAGTAACACAGCTTCATAGAGTTAAATAAATGCAACCTAAAAGAATGCAACACCTCTTTGTTTCTTTAAACAAACATTCTACAGCATAAACAAATGTAACACATCTGCAACTAATATTCCACAAGCCATCTCTCAGGATCTGCCTTCCTATATCCCAAGTGCACGGATACATTGTTATGCCTCACTTCTACATCCAGCTTAAACCTTTTACTGTTAATGATTTACCAAGTTTTTATCATTAAGACTAATGATCAGTTTCTGTCATCTAATCTAGCAGTTTAATTTACTCCAAAAAAGCAAAAAAAAAAAAAATGGTTTCTGTTAACTTCTGGATCTTGTATTTCATAATATATGCATATGCAAATTCAATATGGTGTAAATGCTTAATGGCATTTGGATTTCTGCTTTTGCAGGTGTTATTATCTGACTTAAATAAATTTAGGTTCTTATTTACAACAGATTTTGTGGTTTCCCTTATTTCTCATTGTTTTTTCCTTAGGTTGGAATTCTGTTTCCTATGACACATTGTATACAGTGGTGTGTGGCTTCACGTTTGATTATAAAAAGTATCATATTTCTCAGTATTTTTCCCTTCTAGAGAATATAGGTATAGGCCCATATTTCTGGATGGTGGGGCAGCCAGGCACAAAAGCCATAGGCCTGATCTGAGGTGGTCACGTAGCTCTGCAGACAAACTGTCTGTGCCTAACAATGGTCAGGAAGTTTGGAGGATATCTTATAGAGATGCTAATTCATGGCCTACATGACAGCTAGCATACTCGGCAAACAGGTAGATGCGGACGTGACAGAAGGCCATTCACCTGGTTACCTAAGAGATTAATCTAATGTATTTTCCCGTTCAGTTGATGTGTTGATATATAAGTTGTTTGGATAATAAACGAGGGAGCTCTTCAGGAGAAAAGACTCTGAGATGCCCTTCAATGATGACCATGTAAGTTGCGTCTGATTATTCCTCATGACTCCGTTCCAGTTCAGTTAGGGAATCTGTGTTGGAGCGACACGGGCTCCAACATATAGGTTGCTATAGAAACAAAAATAGACCACAGGGACAGTGATATAGGTCAGAGGGTAAAGGTGCTTGCTGCTGATGTGGGATGGCCTTCTGTATATGTGTTGCTTTTATTGGTTAACAAAGAAGCTGCTTAGGCCCCGTTTGTCAAAGGACAAATTGGTGCTGGTCCTGGGTTGGGCCTACCTAGGGAGGGTCTAGTGCCGAGGGTCCGGGCCGGGTGCTTTTTGCGTTTTTTCCTTTTTAAAACATTTTCGAGACAATGTTTCAATGTAGTATTGGGTGGTTTCAAACTGCTACCCTCCTGACCCAACTTCCGATGTGCTGGGATTACAAGAAATAGCCACTATGAAAAACTCAAGCCTGGTTTTGTGATTTACTCTCTTCAAAAGTCCCTAGAAAACCTTTCTGGTTTCTTTTTATTCCAGAAGAAAAAAAATTCACCTGTCAACATACGTTTAGTTGAGGCTGGCCTTAAGTCTTGAGGCTGCAGGGCCTGGCGATTCCGATGCTTTCAGGTGGGCACTGGGTAGAAAGACCATTTCTGGCTGTCAGGTCACCTAATTATTTTCTTTTCGAATCAGAGTCTTTGATAGCCCAGGCTAGCCTCGACCCATGATCCCACTCTCAACCTTGCTATTGCTGGTATTAAAGGGGTATACCACTTACCTGCTTCCGTGTGGTGATTCCGAGGGCATCTGACAGTCAACATAATTGGTCAGAAGTAGAAAAACAGTGACATCAAAACAGGCATAGAACTGCCAGCTTGGGGTAACAGTTCACAGAGAAGTAATTTTAATGGAGACTTGTCAGTTCTTTCAACTTCGGGTGCCTGGTTTTCTAGTGGAGGAGCTCAGATCTATTTCCCAGGAAAACAAGAGTCGCTGTGAAATACACGCTTATTTAATGTAGTCCTAGTGCCGGGTTGGCTCCTCTCTCCCCTGCACCCTCCTGCCCACTACTTCTGGTCCCACCTCTTCTTATAGTTCAAGTTTCACTGTTTCTTGCCTCCATGTTGTTCTTATCTGGCTTAAATAAATTTAGGTTCTTATTTACAACAGCCATCTCTCCAGCCCCTCCACAGATGTTTTATGCGGTACACTTGTATCATCTTTACCACCACCTTTGGTGCTCTCTGGTCCTCATGCTACCTCCTGACATGCTGTATGTGTCTTTCTACATTAAACTTACTCTGATCTACATGTGATCCCCAGGTCCCTGCGCACTACATCCACCACATCACAGGTCACCAACTCATGGATTAGCCTACGTGCCCATCGTTGGGTGAATGGATCCTGAAAATGGGCTTCTCAGGGTCGGAGAGGCAGCTCAGCAGTTAGGAGTACTTGCTGCTCATATAGAAGATCATTCAACACCTTCATGGTGTCTCAGATGTGTCTGAATCCAGTTCCAGAGATCTGACACCCTCTCTTCTGTAGACCAGGCCTGCCTCTGCCTCCTTTGTGTTGGGAGTTAAAGGCCTTGACACCCTCTTCTGACCTACATGAGCACCACGCACACACATTGCACATACATACATGGCAGGTAATACTCATACGTATAAAAATAATAATTTTTTGAAAAATGGGCTTCATATACACAATAATTACTATGTTTTGAGAGAACAACTCTGATCAAATCTCTTTTATGAGGTGGCCTTTGGCGGCCTCCTGATGCCCCAACTAATGCTTTGTGAGCTTGATCATAGGTTAAACTCTACTGGATACAGGGCTGGATTGATTCTCTGTGGCTAAGAGTTCTTGAAGGCTCAAACTCACCTGTAACTGTAATACCAGGAGATCTGGCACCACTTCTGGCCTCCTGGGCACCTTCACTCCTATGCTACCTGCACACATGTGACACACATGTGCACACGTGTGCATGTGCACAAAACACACACATACACATACTTTTTAAAAGGGCTCACCTGGGTACAGAGTGCTATTACCTACCCCTAGTGTCTCTGACCTAGTAGGTGTGAGACACACCTACTGGACCCAAAAAGGTATACTTCTAGCTAGTTCTGAAGTAATGCTGAGGCTGCTGGTCTGGGGACCACATTTTTAAAACCACTGGCCTAAAAATAAAATCTCAGTTCTGCAGCTAGCTTGGCCATAGAACACTTTTTATTCTGTTTTGCTTTCTTCCTATCTCTTGCTCAGCACAAAACCCTATGGCCCATGCCACACCGGAATATCAATTTTACCAAACACTGACTATCCTCTTGTCCTTCTGGTCTTTGTCCTGCATATTTCCTCTTTGGAATGTCCCTCTGTCTTGTTCCTTTCTGAGGAGCCACCTACATGGAGCATGGTTTTTATCCCAGCACTTGGGAAGCAGAGTCAGGCAGATCTCTGTGAGTTCAAGGCCAGCCTGGTCTACACAGTGAGTTCCAGGACAGCCAATACTGAGATCCTGACATTATGGGACCCTGTCTCAAAAAACAACCAATGACAGAAAGGAAGTTACCTACCAGGGAGGCTGAGTGCTCCCCAGTCCACAGCTAGGGTGGCAGGGATCTGGTATTCTCTAAGCCAGTTGCCACTGCTACTCCTAGGAGACGACAAGACTTGGATTTCCTGGAGGTTTTCTTTGGTGATAAACTGGAAATCATCTCTTTAATTCCATCTCTCAGTTTTCCATAGGTTCACAGGGAAACCATGAACAACTTGAACAAGGAAGACCTGACTTTTTATGTCCTCAATAAAGGCTTCACTACCGACGACATTCTGGGTCAAAAACTAATGAGGTTTCTTCTGATGATGTTTTTGTAGGCTTTAAGATCGGACACTCTCTTTTAGTATCCATGGGCACCAGACACACATGAGGTGAACACACATGTGTAAGGCATCCACACATGCACATAAAATAAAATCAAGTTAAGAAAAAAAATGTGTGGAAGTGCACACCTTTATTCCCAGTGCTGGGGAGTTAGAGGTGGGTGTTAGCTGATTCCAAGTGGTGTCACATCGACAACCAAGAAGGGCCATTGCCTTGTATACAAGTTAAACCATGGTGATAAACTTTACAGTTAACACACATAATCTCCACTGCATTTCTGCTGACACTGTAGATCTAAGAGAACCTTCTTCATCCTCTCCCTGACCTATCTCATCTGCTCCCAGGCCTGGGACTGAGCTCTCAGGGACTTCAGAGTACAGCTCTCCCAGCCTGGGATACTCTCCTCCCCTTCCCCACCTCACCTTAAGGTTCTGCTTGAAACCAGCTCTT